GAGGAAGGGATGAGAAAGCATGCCCCATCCCACTACAGAAAATGGTATTCTCCCTTTCACCAACGTTTCAGATTTGGGGCATGCATGCACACATGTACAGCGTTCTTCTCAAGCCGCCAGGCCAACCATATGGTTGGCCATGTGGGATCTGGTGACCTTACCCTCCAGGCCACAGAACCACTAGTAAGGCAAGCACAGCCTCCTGGGACAGACACAAATGGAGGCGCATGCTTCCTAAGGACATTTTGTTTTAACGTTTATATATTCATTCCTTAAGTGACAGAGACAAGACACCATGACAGGGTCTTCTTGTTTTTTTGGAGAGGTTTTTGCTATAGGGCACGTGCGCTCACCAGAAAGACAGAGAGAGAGAGAGAGAGATAGAAAGCGAGAAATCACCCCCCATGGGGAATGGCCACGCCGCAATCCCTTCTCCTCCATTCTCCCCTCAAGATCTTGGGCACGCATGCCCACGCGCCTGGCGTGAGTTTAAGCCACCGGGTCCAGGACTCGAACCATGGTCGACTACATGGGAGTCCAGCGACATAGCCATTATGCTAACTGCTGGTTCCCATGACAGGGTCTTGACACGACAAATCCACCCCCAGCTTCAGCCTACCTGAATCATGGGTACACGCAAGCCTGGTGTACTCAGGGAGATCTCTGATCAGGAACTGGCATCATTTCCATGTGGGTCTGCTTTGCGGGGCATAAGGTTTTAGTGCTGTGTCACCATCTGGCTGCTCCCCCAATCCCAAACAAATGTATGATGTCTAGGTTGAAGCTTATTTGGTGAGCAGGCCTGAGTGAGGTGAGAGCATACCACAAGCGAGTGGTATCAGGCCCAGAACAAGTGGGTCTTAAGAGTGGTCCAGGAAGGCTCTAGTGCAGGGTGAAAAGTTGAATGGTAAATGTGAGGCTGGGGAGGGAACAGACTCAGGTTTTGTGAGCCAGATGGAGTGAGCTGGACTTTACCAAAACTAAGAGGAAAGAGAGCCTGTAGTGGTAGACTCTTGTTTTAGAAATCTGATTACTTATGGGCAATGGATGGAAGACATGTGAGATCAGAGGCTGCCTCGGAGAAGGCCGTCTTAGTGTCTAGCACAGATGTACATGTCCTGAACTCTAGTCAATGGGCATAAAGAAAAAGAGGCAGAATTTAGTAATATTTGGCTGATGTCTGGGATGAGGGGATAGAAGAGAGTTAAGGATGAGGCCCAGTGGTATGTCTTGGAGACCTGGGTAGTTAGTAGCCCCAAGGCCTGGGGAAGAAACAGGTTTTGAGATGATGATCTAGAATTTGAAATGCGAGGGCATTCAAAAGGAAGTGTTCAGTCAGCAGCTGGACATGGCGTCTCCAAGACAAGTGAGAGCCGTGTGAGTGATTGGCGTATAGCCTCCGCCTATAGATGGGAGCCAGAGGAATGGAGGAGGTGGCCCAGGGAGTGTGTTTTAAGAGAAAAGGGCCCAGATTGGAGCCCTGTGGAGTGAATTTAAGAGGATGCCTGATGAGAAGGGGAGGAGGTTGAAGGATTTAGAGGAAATACCTACAACTGTCATGTTAGCCACAGCTATTGCGCTGTAAATTAGCATTTACTGATCATCCATACACCGTGGGTGTATTCAGAGACAAGTGAGACTTGACCTTTGACATTATACTTGGATTAGAGACCATCACCTGCTAACACGTTTCTGAAACAAGAGGCTCCTTTCTCACAGGCCAATGATTGTCTTATTTTCTAAATGATAAATTATGCTTCCTTAGCAGTTTATGCAAGGCACTGGAGTCCTTCCCAAACTCACTCTCTCATATCACCCGGGTCCAGAAATGCCAGGCCTGACAGCCGAGCCTGGAGCCTCCTATCCAACAGGATAGATGGCCTGAAGAGGACAGTCCAGGACTATGTGCGGGGTTAGAAGAGGCAGGGGCATGTCCTGTACCTGAGGCTTAGCAAATTATACCTACCCATCAGGCCCCAAAACAAGGAAGGCACCCCCGCTCTGTGGGCGAGACAAAGCAGCAGCCCTCTTCCCACATGCCAGCCCATCTGCTTCTTTGCCTTCACAAACATGCCTTTTTTTCCTTGATAAATTTTCTTTTTTTTTTTTTTTTTATTCTCTACAGCTTTGAGTACACAAGAAAGAAGAGTGGGAGATGGGAGGAAAGGTAAGCCTGGAAGAGGGCAAGAGGAAAATTGGGGGAGGCGGTCAGCTCCTGCAACCACCAACACAATAAATTATATGCATCCTCAACCACCTCAGTCTGGCCCGTTTTTTGCAGTGCGTGTACATCAGTTTCCTCTGGGCAGCGCCCCACAGATGATGGCCAAGGCATGGCTGTGGCCTTGATGAACTTCACTGATGGGGCTCCTCTCAGGATGTCAGAAGTCTTACAGGCCCATTCCCCTTTGTGCCCTCACAGAGGCTGGCACAGGCTGTATAGGACAGCTGGGCACAGGCTTTTCCTGCCCTGGTACCTTTGATTCATGATGCTTTTGGTGGAAGAGGACGGTCTTGGTCTCCAGACCCTCCATCACCTGGGGCAGCTGGAACGAGTGCCTTCCCAAGCTGCATGACAGCAGGGTTGGAGGTGGGACAAGTTTGCCCCGTGTGAAGGCCTGTGGGAGGAACCATGAGGTGGAGGGGATAGAAGGAAAGTGGATAGGTGGGAGGACAGAGGTTCTCTGCCTTCTACCATCTTCCAGACCTGGACCTGGGTGCAGAAGCCATTCTGCCTGACTTCGAGTCCCTGATGGGAGGCGTCGGATGTCTGTCCTGGGGTCTATCCATGCTGCTCTGAGTCAGCTTAGCTTGCTGCTTTAAGGCCTATGCCCTTTTTGTTCTGGACTTGCTAGTTCTTCACATGGCTATGCCCACAGAGTTCCCATTCTAGCTGCTGCTCACATTGACACCCACTCTTGGCTAGAGCTGAACACTAGGCTCTGGCCTCAGGACCCCCCCCTTGTAGAGGACAGAGTGTCAGGGGTCCCATCCCTCTCCTGCCCTAGAAAGCATGGACTTTCAGTGACAGGTCCAGGTGCCCCCATGCCCCACCTGGGCTGGATGATGGCATCTTTCCATTTTCTGCTGCTTGCACAGCCCCACGTTCTGGGGATTGAGCTATGAGCTCATACCGGCCCATCAAGCCATCTTCATTTTCCAAGGACTTGGTCAGCCAGTGTGCACTTCCTCTTTCCCCACCACTCAGGCTCTACTTTTGGTGCAAGTGGACAGTCTTGCTCTCCTGAGGGGCCTCTTGCAGGGCTTCAGGCCTGAGGGCCTCCCAGGCTGGTTCTGGGACTGCAGCCCTCCTGCAGGGCTGTGGGGCAGGCCTAGGTTGCAGCCAGCTTGGGGTGCTGACTTATACCCTACCATTTGTTTGCCTCCTCTGCCCCATGCTGCCTCAGCCAACCACCCAAGAAGCTGAGCTGTGCCATCCAGCCCATGCCACCCTTCCCAGCTACAGGGAGAGCATGAGTTGTGCCAGTGTACGAAGGGCTGTGTGCCTGTCCCACTTGGCCCCCGCCCACCTGGAGTGAGCACCTGCATCCACACACAGGTGTTTCCTGTGTGCCTTCCTGTTGCCGTTTTTTCTGCTCAGTGTGGCTTCCCCAGCAGGTGGTTGAGGCCACAGCCAAGGCTTTTTGTACACAGCTCTGCAACACTGGGGGAAGGGCTCCCTGGGGATCTGGGTCACCCCTCAGGGGGACTGTTAGCACCTCATTGGCTCTTCCTGAGTGCAGGGGCGCGCACACACACACACACACACACACACACACACATACTGCCATGCTACCACAGCAGTCACTGAGACACCAGAGTGGCTTTAGGAAATGGGGGAGGCCCTGCCCATGCAGTTTCCCTTGCCCCTAGATAATGGAAGTTCTAAAAGGGAGAAGGGTGGAGGTCCTGGTTCTCTAGCTGAGGTTGTAGGCCTCCCTCAAGCCCTCCTAACAGGCCTGCCATCCTGAAGTCCTACCCCAGCCTCATGTTCCTTGAAGAGGAAGGACTCTGTTTTTCTTTTGTTTTGTTTTGTTTTTAAGAGAGGCTTTTGCCATAGAGTGTGTACACTCGCAGGAGAGATAGAGACAGAGAGACAGAAAGTGACAAATCACCCCCTGGGGGGATGGCTATGCCGCAATTCCTTCTCTTCCATTCTCCTCTCAGGATCTCAGGCACACATGCATATGCACCCTGTGTAAGATTGAAGCCACTGGGTCTGGGGACTCGAAGCTTGGATGACTTTGTGGGGTCCAACGACATAACCATCTGCTGGTCCCACCTCCCAGAAGGCTCTTAACCTTGTGGATTAACACACTCATGTGCCAGGCAGTTCTGGGGGAGGTGAGTCACCTCCCCACAGTCATGCTTCCAGAAGCCACATGGGTCTGCCGGCTGTAGGGGGTCACAGGGTTAGGTCAGGTTTGTTATTACAGAGAGGGAGGCTGCTCCAGGAGGAAAAGGACTTGCTATCCCTGGTCATGTGGCGGCCATATGGGTCTCCTGCCTCCCAGGCCCCACTCATACCCTCTCAAGGATGTCTCTTGTACTCCAGCCTCCAAGAAGCTCCTTCAAGCCACTCTAGGAAGTTGCCTCCATGTGGGGAAGACGCTAAAGCCTGGCATGCGGTCATGTCGTTCTACTGCCCCCTGGTGGCCAGAAGTTCCACCCACACCATGCTGCCTTTTTCTGCCAGCCTCTCCTACCCTCTGGCCACTGCTTACCCTTTGGGCTGTCTCTAGGCCAACTCCACAGTTCAGCTCCATTCTAGGCCCATTGTTCCCAGACACGGATGGCTTAACCTCCCCAGCAACACCCCACCACCCTCTTCCCCTTGCTTTTTTCTCCAAGCTCAGTTCCACCCTCTGGGCTTTCTTCCACCCGGATTTCCAGGGCAGTGCACATGCCGATGTCACAGCTGGAGTGCAGATGCACTAGTGTCAGGAAGGTCCACAGCCACAGGGTGTTGGAACAGAGGGTCAGGAGTGCACCAGGCCACGTAGGAAAGGCATTTTGCTTTTTTATTTTCTGTAAAACTCTGTAAATAAAATACAAAACCAAGGGATGTGGCCGGGCTAGGCCCTGGACACTGATTTGTGGCTGGGAGGCACTTGACTGCAGGCACTGACTACCAACCCCAGGGGCAACGGAAGAATATATTAGATTTTCATTGATAGGACTCTGCGGGGGAGGGGTGTCTGGAGCCAGCCCTCACCCTCCCTGCCAGTGCCTGGTAAGCCTTAAAAGTAGGTGGGAGGGGTCCTGGGAGATGTGGCTGGAGGGTTCAGAATGCTGTGCTGGCCATGCTGCCAGGCCCAAAGATGCGGGGCAGGGCGTCCAGAGACTCCTCTAGCCGTCGATGGGCTGACTGTCCTTCTTCCCCTGTAATGCGTAAGGATGAGGTCAGGGGTTGTCTAGCCCCAGCCCAGCTCTCCCACCCCTGGCCCTGTCTTGCCCTACTCCCCTCTACCGAGATTTCTCAGAACCACACCACCCCCGGCCTTACCACACTGCTGCAGGCTCTGCCGGGCAGCTTCCCTCACTGCTTCCGTGTCCGTTTGGCACAGGTACACCAGGGGCTCAATGCCTTCAGGAGCCTATCAGGGGAGGGAGCGTTGAGGTGGGCCCAGTGGAGTAGGTAGGAGGTGCCCAGGGGTAAGGGTGCCAAGAGAAGAGAGAAAGGGGGGGTCGGTGGGAGTCACCTTGATGCAGCCCAGGGCCAGGCAGCCAGCCACTCGAGCCTGCACATCCTCATCCTCGAGCTGGTCCAGGAAGCACAGGAGGGCCTGAGTGAGGGCAGAAGGACAGATTTAGCCAGATACTGAGAGCCTGGGACCCCAGGTCTTGTCTTCAAGGGAGCCCTGCCCGACTCTTACCCTCTCCCGGAAAGCAGGGCCCAGTGACAGGCTCCGGAGCTGGGTGCTGACGGCCGCCATGACCTTGTTGTTGCCATGGACAAGCAGGGAGCTGAGGGCTCGAAGCCCGTCCCTTCGGAGCCGCCCCTCGGGGGCCAACCTTAGGGCCTTCAGCACAATAGCCTGGTCATCTGAGTTCAGATTCCGTACCAGTAACACTGAAAGAAAGGAGAGGGACCAGTTGGGACAAGGTGGCAGGGCAAAGGGCCTTTTAGGGTGGGGGAGGTCTTGTCCTTATGTCTTCATCCTCACCCTCCTCGGCGGTCTCAGTCACATAGGCCTCAATGGAGGGACAGTCCAAGGTTTCAACGTAACTCCAGAACTGGAAGATGGTGACCTGCTCTCCAGGGCCTGGCTGGGGCCTCCTGGGCAGCTTCTGTCCCAGGGCATCCTCCAGGAACTTTATACACACTGTAGGAGGCAGTGCCACAGGCCTCAGATTGGATGGACCCAGGCTTTGGAGAGGAAAGAGACTGCTCCCCTCCCAGGCTCAGGGTTTCCTGTCCAAACCCTGCCCATCAGGGTCCTTGTGCTTCAGGCATAAGCCTCCACTATTCCCCCTTCTCAGCCCATATGTCTGTGTGGGCTGACTTGCTTATCCTACAGTCCCTGTCACTGGGAACCCAAGAAAGGACAGGAGAAGGGGCAGGAAGGCAACCTACTCACCAGCCTCGGCTAAGCCTGGCTGGCGCAGGGAGAGGCGGGCACCGTACTGGTTGCAGAAGGTGAGGAGCACCTGCTCCATGGGGCAGATGAAGGGGCTGAGTCCTTCTGTGCACTGGTCCCAGAAGGTTAGGAAGCCAGGCCGAGAGGCTGAGAACTGCACCACTAGAAGAGGGGGTGAGGAGGGCACCATTGGCAAGAGCAGACAGGTGGGGAGATAGACACATGGGTGGGGATGGGGCGAGGGAGGACACTGGAGCCCACAGGGCTTTACCTTCCTGGGCAGAGGTGGCAGGGGTCTCCCATCGTCTGCTGAGCTCACATACTGCCTCAAGCACTCGGGCTTCCCGCAGCAGCCGCTCCAGGGCCCATGCCTCTTGGCAGCGCAGAGGCCCAAATGTGCCCAGTTTCTAGAAAACAAGGGTGGCCAGGTAGTTCAGACCTTAAGACAGGCTTGGGAAGGATAGAACACAGGGACTACAAGTCCCAGCATGCATTGGGAGAGACTGGGGGTGGGGCTAGAAAGTAAGCGGAATTATGTTCAGGAAGAGCCAGATGCCAGGATCCTGGGGCACAGAGGGGTGGAACTCAGAGGAAGAATAGAGGGCTAAGATTGAAGTGGAGGGCTCCCTGAGGTAGGGGTAACAAGGAAAGGGTGGTGAGACTACCACCAGCCTCACCAGCAGGAGGCGACTGCAGTGGTACAGGTGTTGGACCAAGGCAGCATCTAGGGCTGGACACCCAGTACTGAGAGGGCGGGCGCTGGGTGAGTCTAGGCAGTCCTCAGCCCCAGCCTCCGGGGCGCTGGGGGCCCTGAGAGAAAAGTGGGGTCAACCACCCCAGGAGCACACATCAGCATCAGGCCACCAGTGTTTATTTTTATTAAGCTCCCCCAATTCCAGAATGGAAGAACAGACAATGTGCAGACAACAGGCAATGGGTAAGTTCATGGAGGACTTCCAGGAAGAGGAAGGGGCTGGAACCAGCAGGTGATAGCAGGGGTCTCCGGAGCCAGCTAGAAACGCAGGGGCTGCCAGGGCTGGGATGGGTGGGAGTAGGGTTGCAGGCGAGATGGTCTGCGAGATGTGGACTGCCAGGGTCGGAGGACATGGGGCCAGAACCTGGGCAGCAGCAGAGGGAGGTGGGACCGAGCACGACGCTAAACTGGGCGCTTGGAAACACGACACAGGAG